TGGCCCCCTCCCCGCGAGTATCACGGGTCCCCCTCTTGTATATATATATTTTAGAAATGATTTGGAAAATATTTGAACACCTTGTCTTAAAATATTTTATTCATCATGTTAAAATAAAACGTTCCATAATCATTTTTCTTTCTTTTCTTTTTTCAATTTTTCCAATTTTTCAGAAAAAAACAAAAAGGCTGCAGGAAAAAAATGGAAAAAAACCTGTTTTTCCCCAAATTTTTCCATTTTTTTTCTGGGCCTTCACATCTCTAGTCAGGTTTCACTCTGGCGCTTAGCCCTGGCACCCTTCATACATCCCATAGCTGGAACATGGGAAGAAGGCATCAGGTCGAGGGCGCCTATGAGCATGTACAGACTGAAGGGCTAGATTTGAGCCGGGGGCGTAGGCTAGGCCCACCCAAAGGGACTCTGTGACATGTGAAACAGAAAGGGGAGAGAAGGTCTCGGAGGACGTGTGGGCAACCTTTCCGGACTACCAGGGCGTGAGTCTCCCAGGCAGCTTGAAACCCCCCCCCCCCATTTCTCAAGGCAGAAAACTAAGTGTTGCAGCTGTTTATTCTGTTCCCTGGGCTCAGAATCAGGGGTTCTCAAAGTAAGTTCCACCCACCCCATTTATTTTCCAGCCATCCACAGAACTCAGCCGTGGTTCCACGGACACATTTCTAGAGAAGACACCCAGCGCCTCATCATCCAGCAAGGACTGGTGGATGGGTAAGATGCTTGCAACATCTGCTCATTTCTCGGGCTCTTCCAGCTCATCTTTATGGAAGCCTAGACAAAAGGAAGTCTTACTGTGTTCAGTGGGGCTTGCTGCTAGGTAAGGGTGCAGAATGGAGCTGCGGTGGCTCAAGTGGTTAAGACGCTGAACTGCAGGCTGTGGAAGGTCGGTAGTTCAGCAGTTCGAGACCCGAGTGTGCCGCATGACGGAGTGAGCTCCCGTCTCTAGTTCCAGCTCCTGCCAACCTAGCAGTTCGAAAGCAAGAAATTGCAAGTAAATAAATAGGCACCGCTTCGGTGGGAAGGGAACAGCGTTCCGTGCGCCTTGGTGTTTAGTCGTGCCGGCCACATGACCACGGAAATGTCTTCGGACAGCGCTGGCTCTTCGGCTTGGAAACGGAGATGAGCACCGCAACCCTAGAGTCGGACTCGACTGGCTTTCGAGCAAGGGAAACCTTGACCTTACCTTTACTAAGGGTGCAGAGGACGGCAGCCTTAAAGTCCCAAAGACCGTTTGTCCAGTCCTCCGTGATTCAGAGGAAGGGCCCGATCACCTGGCATCCAACCAGTTCTTTTTTCTCAGTGAACCTGAGTGATCCAGACCAAAAGCTGCTTCCACGGGGAGTTGATTGTCCCTGTTGCTGCTCCTGTGGATCAAGAATACCTTGCAATGGCAATGGAGCATCTGCACAGCCAGTTTGGTGTAGTGGTTAAGTGTGCGGACTCTAATCTGGAAGAACCGGGTTTGATTCCCCACTCCTCCACTTGCAGCTTCTGGATGACCTCGGGCAAGCCATCGTTCTGTCAGAGCTGTCCTTGAAAGAGCAGTTTCTGTCAGAGCTCTCTCAGCCCCACCTACTTCACAGGGTTTCTGTTGTGGGGAGGGGAAGGGAAAGGAGTTTGTGAGCCGCTCTGAGACTCCAAGTGAAGGGCGGGATATAAATCCAATCTCCTCCTCCTCCTCCTCTTCTTCTTTAGCTGTTTGCCTCGCACTTCCCATCCCTCGGCCTCCACAAGACCCAGTTCTCCTGACACCACCAGAGAGCTCTTTCTAACGTAAAAAAAAAAATCTATTGACAATTGCTACATCGCGATATTGCTAGAACGATCCAGTGCCACGATTGACTGCCTTCTCTAAAATTCCAGCTTTCGTTAAAGGAAAACAGCAAGGGCGGTTTTTTAAAACAAAAGCTGGGAATTTTAGAAAGCGAATTGGTACTCGGCCGTTGTAATGTTATAGTGCTGTAGCAATCTAACAATTGCTGGGAATTTGCTTTAGCGATCTAGCAAAAACTGGGAATTTTAGAAAGCAAACTGATCGCAGTAGTAGATCCTCGTGACGTTGTAATGCTGTAGCAATCTAGCAATTGCTGGTTTTAAAAGGATCCCTCTGGTGGCGTGGGGGAAGTGGTGGCTGCAGGTGCTGAGGTTGAAAAAAATGGTGCTGGGGTGGATGGGGCCCTTTAGTTAATGCACCCTTTCCCTTCCACTCGGTATGCAAAAAAGCTTTGGCGACAGCTTTGCCAAGACGACTGATTAGGGGATGGCATCATGTAGATGCTCTCAAACCAGCTTTCCCAACATGGTGTCAGCCCCACCTACCTCACAGGGTGTCTGTTGTGGGGAGGGGAAGGGAAAGAAGTTTGTAAGCCGCTCTGAGACACCTTTGGGTAGTGAAGGGCGGGGTATAAATCCAATCTCTTCTTCTTCTTTTATCCGTTCTAACCCGACGCCTCAGCAATTTCGTGGAGTGCCCACGAGTTCTTGTATTTGTCAGGAACTTTAGGCAGGTAATCCACACACCCAGGCTTCTCCAGAAGATAGGTATTTATTGTGATAACACAGAACTAAAGTAGAGGTATACAGCTTGTGTTAAGAATGCCCTCTAATAAGATGGCCACTAACTTATACATGATTCAAACACCCCCCCCCCCCCACCTGCCAAGCCAATTAAGTTTTTCCACGCATGCGGGCCCTGCCAGCAAGCAAGCTATTTTAGTGCCTAAAGCAGTTACAATTCCCAGGCCAGGGAATTATAGAAAACATCTTGAAGGCCAGACTACAGATAGTGGAGCGCTAGGCAGAGTAGCACTGAGAACGAGTGGGAGAGAATACCCCCCCCTCACATTCCAACAGTATGACAGGGTTACCTAACAGTATTGTGAGAGAGGGAGAAAAGGACTTCTTTCTCAACCTGCCCTATCCCACGCATGATCTTATAAACCTCGATCATGTCACCCCTCAGCCGTCGTTCCTCCAAGCTAAAGAGCCCCAAGCGCTTTAACCTTTATTCCTAGGGAAAGTGTTCCAACCCTTTTATCATTCGAGTTTGCCCTTTTCTGCACTTTTCCCAATGCTATAATACCCATTTTGAGGTGTGGTGACCCGAACTGTACACAGTACTCCAAATGAGGATGCACCATCGATTTATACAGGGGCATGATGATATACAGTCATCAAGTGGTTAAGATGCTGAACTGCAGGCTGTGGAAGGTCAGTAGTTCAGCAGTTCGAGACCCGGGTGCCGCATGACGGAGTGAGCCCCCGTCTCTAGTTCCAGCTCCTGCCAACCTAGCAGTTCGAAAGCAAGAAACTGCAAGTAGATAAATAGGTACCACTTTGGTGGGAAGGTAACAGCGTTCCGTGCGCCTTGGTGTTCAATCATGCCGGCCACATGACCATGGAAACGTCTTCGGACAGCGCTGGCTCTTCGGCTTTGAAACGGAGATGAGCGCCGCAAGCCTAGAGTCGGATTCGACTGGCTCTCGAGCAAGGGAACCTTTACCTTTTTACCAAGAGGCATCCCCTGTATCAATGGCTATAAAAAAATTAATTGGGAAGAGGCTGGAACCGAGTGGTTGAGACAGCCGTGGGTTTTCTGTGGGGGAGAAGCACCTGAGCAGGGGGGCGTGTGGGTGGAACTGGGGTGGGGTGGGGGCTGTGGCTGCTCTTTGCCCGAGTGGTGCCCGCCTGCCCTTTGGGCGCAGAAAAGGCTGTGCAAGGCAGCAGGGCTATTTTTGGGCAGGAACGCACAGGAACAGAGTTCCGGCTGGCTCCCGAGTTGGCCACGCCCAGCAGGAACGCATTAGCATAATAGGCCACACCCAAGAGCAGAAACTCATTAGGATTGGCTACAATTAGGGGTGTGTGGCCTAACATGCAAAGGAGTTCCTGCTCCAAAAAAAGCCCTGGGTTTTGACCACAAACAAGGTAAACAAAATAAGAAGCAAAAGGTGGTTGTGGCTGGATGAGCACACTTCTGGTTACAAGGGGTGTGTGGCCTAATATGCTAATGAGCTGTGCTGTAAGGGGTGTGGCCTAATAGGCTAATATGTTTCTGCTGTTGGGTGTGGCCAGTTATGCTCATGAGTTCCTGCCGGGCTTTTTCTACAAAAAAAAATCCCTGCAAGGCAGTGTGTCTCTAACGCCCCTTTCCCACTTCTTGGCACCTCCAGGGTGTTCCTGGTGCGGGGGAGCCAGCGGAACCCCAAAGGTTTTGTCTTGTCGCTCTGCCACCTGCAGAAAGTGAAGCACTATCTTATCCTTCCGGTAAGCAGGACCGACGTAAAAAAATAATTCAAATACAATTCAATACATTAGAATACAGCCAAGCTCTTTTCCAAACTTCAAATACAGTTCAATACAGAATACAGCCAAGGTCTTTTCCTGTACAGCCAAAGTCTTCCCTCTAAGTTGTGGAGTCTCGTGAGCATAAATTCTACTTTGTGAGGTACTGGCATTAAAGTTGTGAGCGAACGATTTGGCCACTGCATAAATTAGTCTGCTCTGGAGCCATCCTTCCCGAGCTAAGACAAAGATGTGTGAGCCGGAGGCTAAAAAACTGTGAGCTGGCTCACACTCACTCAGCTTAGAGGGAACACGGTGGTCAGTGGCAAAGAATGCCTGGGTTCTCTTCGTTTCAGCTTTCCTTTCTTCAAGCCACTTTCCAGAAGAACCTGCCAAGTTCACAAAACCTCCTATTGACTGATGCAGAGCAATCTACAAAACTTCTAGCTGACTTGAAGTTGGAATTTATCTAAGGAGCCCCGTGTGGACCATATTGAATTTGTATGAATGTATTAGATGTTAGGTTAGGTTAGGTTCCTGCCAACCTAGCAGTTCGAAAGCAAGAAATTGCAAGTAGATAAATAGGCACCACTTCGGTGGGAAGGTAACAGCGTTCTGTGCGCCTTGGTGTTTAGTCATGCCGGCCACATGACCACAGAAACATCTTCGGACTGCGCTGGCTCTTTGGCTTTGAAATGGAGATGAGCACCGGAACCCTAAAGTCGGATTTGACTGGCTTTTGAGCAAGGGAACCTTTACCTTTACTATTCGATGTTAGCTGAGATGTTAGCTGTTTATACTACAAATTTTCAATAAGACTACCTTTAGGACTTTACAGATCCATTTGTATTTCTTTACACAGTGCTACAGCCTCGGTGTTGTGTTTCTGTACGAAAACTTGCTTTCGCTGTGCTGCCATTATATTTATACCACCCGGAGGCTGGCAAACCTACTCGAGTCTGAAGCTAGAGTGTTAGATTTTTCCTCTATAGGTGGTGTCAGGGGTGGGGGGCTGCACATGGTTAACATATGTGGTATCCAGTGTTCCCTCTAAGATGAGTTAGTGTGAGCTAGCTTACAGCTCTTTAGCCTCCAGCTCACGGATTTTCCTCTTAGTTCAGGAAGGGATGGCTCCAGCGCAAACTAATTTATTTAGTAGCCAAATCGCTCGCTCACAACTTTAATGCCAGGAGCTCACAAAGTAGAATTTTTGCTCACAAGTCTCCACAGCTTAGAGGGAGCATTGGTGGTATCTGCAGTGAAGTCTGCAGCTAGTTCAAATTTCACTGGACACCATAATTCTGGGATTCGGCCTTACCTGCAAAGTGAGGTGGAAACTTAATCCATAAAGACGTCTTGATGGGGCAGGGCTGCCAGCTCGGGGTGGGGAAATACCTGGAGGTTTGTGGGGTGGAGGCTGGGGAGGGCGGGGTTTAAGGAGGGGAGAGATCTCATTGGGGCACAGTGCCATAGAGTCCGCCTTCCGAGGCAGCCATTTTCTCCAGGGGAACTGGTCTCTATCGCCTGGAGATCAATTGTAACAGCGGGAGGTTTCCAGTGCTAGTCCACAGCAGTGGAGCACACATTTGGGCTCCCCCGTTGAGAGACAATTATTATTTGGCATCTTCCAGAGACTGAGGCTAGACTTGGCATCTCGTGGCACTGCCTCTGAACCGACATGTAGACAAGAGCCAGAGTCCAGGGGCGCCTTAAAGACTGACAACAGATGTGGCCGGGGTGGAGCTCTCATGAGTCACTTTTCCTAAGTGAGCAGCAGCCCACGAAAGCTCCTCCCCTGCCACAAATGTTGTCAGTCTTTAAGGCGCCCCTGGACTCTGGCTCTTTTCCGCTGCTACAGACGGACTGTCATGGCTTCCAGCCTTGAGCCATACCAACGTGTGAGATCCAACCAGCTTTTCTGCCGGAGCAAAAGGAAGGAGAGCCGGGAAAAGGCTATCCCAGGGGTCCCGGGACCAATGCTCCCTCTAAGCTGTGGAGTCTTGTGAGCAACAATACCTTTATTGTTTGGTGTAGTGGTTAAGTGCGTGGACTCTAATCTGGGAGAACCGGGTTTGATTCCCCACTCCTCCACTTGCACCTGCTGATGTGACCTTGGGTCACTCACAAGCTCTGGCACAGCTGTTCTTGAAAAAGAGCAGTTTGTGTCAGAGTTCTCTCAGCCCCACCCACCTCACAGGGTGTCTGTTGTGGGGAGGGGAAGGGAAAGGAGTTTGTAAGCCGCTCTGAGACTCCAAGTGAAGGGCGGGGTATAAATCCAATCTCTTCTTCTTCTTCTCTTTATACCTTTCGATTTATTGATCGCTCAGTCCGGCAGAGCTGCTGGCTCTGAGCGATTTGCAGTTACACGGTTTCACACAAGGGACTAACAATTTCATAGGGGTAAGGGAGGGCAGCACATACTTCTTTAAACTGCACACATTTTGCAGCTGATGGACAATTCTCCTTTGTGAGCTCCTGGCATTAAAGTTGTGAGCGAGCGATTTGGCTACTGCATCAATGAGTTTGCTCTGGGGCCCTCCTTCCTGAGCGAAGACAAAAATCTTTGACCTGGAGGCTAAGAAACTGTGAGCTAGCTCACACTAACTCAGCTTAGAGGGAACACTGCCCGGGACTGGCGTGGATAAAAGCCACACGGGACTGGGGCTGTAACAAGGCGGAGAACCGAGTGGGATTGAGTCAGTGACCAACCATCCTTTGTGGATTTCAGAGCGAGGAAGACGGCCATCTCTACTACACCATGGACGACGGGCAGACCCGTTTCGCCGATCTGATCCAGCTGGTGGAGTTTCACCAAATCAACCGGGGCATCCTGCCTTGCAAGCTGAAGCACTACTGCACCTGCGTTGCCTTGTGAGAGGCCACCGGGCTTCCCCACGGCCTGCCCCACAGCCGGCTGCAGCTCACCACGAGGGGTGGAGAACGGGGGGGAGGGCACCTGTGAACCCCGTATACCGGGGCTGACTCCGAACTTTCCTCCACTCCTTGACCCCGCTTTGCCTACGCTGAGCGACCGAGGAAGGACCAGATCTGAGCCCTCTTATTCCAACACCTTTCGGGGAGAGTTGCAACTCTTAGCAAGCTCAAGAATGGATTTTTGGGGGGCGGGGTTTTTTTGAGGGTCACAGTGATGACAAATCGGGAAATGGTCTGTCGGGTGCTCCTTTGGACCCAGCAAGGGGGAGAATACGCCCCACGGCCCACCCAGCACCCCCTTCCACTCGAAGGCTCTCCGCGTCACCACGTTTGAGAGCTTCTGCCAGTCTTTGCAGCCCTCTGTCTGCTCAGCGCAGGTCACCCCCTTCACGGGGAACCGGCCTTCTTCCCTGGCTCATGCTTTGCAGTGGTGAGGATTCGTTCCAAGGAAGGGGAGGTAGGAGAGGGCGGGGTGTGCCGGCGCCTGTCTCAGTGGGGATCCTTGCGGCAAATGCTACTCTTTGACCCGTGCTGGTGGTGAAGAAGTAAATAGAGTGGAAGACACACACCCCTCCCCATTTAAAGCCCAAATTAAAACCGCTTCAGCTTCATATCGCTCATGTCTCCCACAGATATCTACACTGTGTCCAGTCTAGTGAGTGGAGTACCAAGGCAAGAGAATAGATGGTGAGGAGAGAGAGAGAGGGTTAGTTGTGTGTGTGTGTCTGGTCTAGAGAGAGAGAAAGAGAGAGTTGTGTGTGTGTGTCCGGGGGGGGGGGGGAGAGAGCGAGGGGGGGGGGG